TAGTTGCCCTTTCACCTTTTAAAGTCTCAGCACTCAGACATTTTTATGGCTTTATTTGATAGAAATTGTTAGACTGATAGAAATAGGCATTTTTATGTTAACATCAAAGTTATCATAAGGGTTGATCAGGCAACATTTCGAGTGAGGCAGAGCAATAATAACAAGTTTTAGCTGATCATATTGTTGTCCATAGACGGGGAGAGATGAAGAGACAGACTAAAGCTCATGAGAGGAAAGCCATCTTGTCATTTTACAAGAAGAAAGGAGATATTGGGGTATCAAAAGAGACACTGTTGACAAATTGGCCGAGGAGTAGCTGTAAACCAGCCCCAATATGACAAACCTGTTTGCCTAATTTTTTTTTTTTCTCCAGGTGGAACCTCTGAGGTGAAGATGCACACATTCTTCCTGGGTCTGGACTGGAACGGCCTCCTGAGGCAGAAAGCTGAATTCATACCGCAACTCGAGACTGACGATGACACCAGTTACTTTGACAGTACGTGTCAGACCAGCTAGATTTGTGGACAGATATACACACTCAGTGCTTTAATAATCTAGTATGGACTCTGCATGCACACTCACAAACCTATACCTTTTTTAAGAACACAGGAGGACACACTACTATGAGAATAAGTCAAAATGTTTTCATTTCATAGTAATCTCTGATGGTACTTTCAATTAGGATAAAACAGTGCATCAGTTTTTCAATATTTAATGCCATGTCATTGTGTTTCCTGTAGCTCGATCAGAGCGCTACTGTCATCTGGGCTCAGATGACGATGATGAAACCAATGATGATGAATCATCTCGGGAGCTCCGACAGTTCTCCTCTGTGGCCCACCGCTTCAGCAAGGTGCTTGTTACGGCTCTGCTTATTACCCTTCACTTAATATGTGCCACGCTATTAAAATATATATCTAATTAATGACTCTTTGATAGAATAAACCCTGGTGTGAACTCTCACAGTCCTCCAGATATTTTGTTAAAACATCTATGTAACCAATTTTCTTGTTAAACTTTAGGTGTACAGCAGCACAGAGCACCTGTCCACCTCCACGCCGTCCAACCAGAGCCTGTCGTCATCCGAGCGAAGCCACAGTGAGGAGAAGGAGGAGAGGTGGGAGGGCAGGGGAGTCCTCTCCCCTGGCGATGGATGCAAACACTTGGCTGGTGGAGACAGGAGGGCAGATGGACACAGGGGGAGGTGAGAGCATGAAACGTGAGAGAGATATCTCCTTTCTATGAGAGGAAAGGAATTACAGCCAGCCCTCATTCTTGCCTTGTTAGCTCTAAATTTAATGAAAAACGTGAGAAGGAAGTGGATTATTCTGAAGCACTTGTTTATTGAAAATGGTGTTTTTGGGACAATACTATGTATCATAAGTCAAAATGGTTAACAATTTAACTTCACCCAGGTCTGAACCTTTCTATATACTTTATATATGTGTTTATATGGGTTGTTTCTCAGTATGGTGCAGCAATGTGAAAGCCTCCACCTGAGTTGAATGTCAGGTGGAGGCTTCACATTGCTCTTGGGTGTGAATGGCAGTGTCAGGTTTCCTGCTTTCCATTCACTGCATACTGGGAAAGGTTCCAGGTCCCCTATGACCCTGAGTAGAGTTAGCTGTTATGCCATGGAGGACTGACCAGACCTCTACTGACAAAATTGTTTTAGGAGATAAAATCAGTATTTTATTATTAAAATAAAAATAAAAAGTAACTACAGGTCAAGATAAATATACCAGAGCTCATTCACCTATACATATGCAAACGCAATACAAACTTAAAATAAATTTTGGTCAAATCTGGACTTTTTTAATTCTGTTTCACAGTCTGCGTCCTCGTGCTTCATCCAGCTCCTCCCAGTCAGAGCGCAGCACCAGCCCACTGGTGATGAACAGCACCCAGAGCCTCGACATCATGCCTCGCTTCGCCATCTCTGCCGAGGAGGAAGGTAAGACCAACAAACACAGACCTCTGTTCCTTCTCTTCTCCTGTTATTTTGCAATTATGAAACAACAGTGATTACACTCCGTACCTCCTGATTCTAGACGGGATGGTTTCCAACCTGCGACGCATTCGGCTCCGGAGCAACAGCACAGGCACCAGGCCGTCCTTCCGAAGAGGGGCGTCCAGACGCATCGCCCACCAGCTAGAGACCCCAGAGAAACCCAGATCCCCAGCTGGGAAAGTCCCCAAGTCTGCCTCTGTCTCTGGCCTGTCCCTTATCATTACCCCAGGTAGACAGGACGGTGATGACTTCTTTGAAATGTCACCAAAATGTTAAAATTTTTTGTCACTTACCCTAGCTTCCATTGAAATTCAGTTGCTTGCTCAAATTGCATCCATAATCATGTTTTTTTAGAGGCACGACTGTCATCTGTCTATATTTGCTAAGACTATTCATGTGTTTATAGTGCCCTCTACAGCCAGATGCTGTGTAACTTATAAAATAAATATACACTAATACTAAGGACAATAATTAAAATAGAAAAACATCATAATAAGTCAAGTGAAGTCTTATTTTGGCCAGAGAATTAGTAGATTAACCTTGTTAAGCATCATTATTGTGGTAGTTTGATCAAATACTGAATGGTGCAACATGTAAGAACGTGTACGTACACTATCCATAACCCTTCCTAAACATCTTCTCCTCTCGATCCAGATGACTCAGCAGGTCCTCCTACGAGCCCCAAATCGTCCTTGTCCCTGTCGTCCAACCCCTCATCCAGAGACTCATCCCCCAGCCGGGACCTCTCTGTCAGCATCAGCTGCCTCAGGCCTCCTGTGGTCATCCACAGCTCTGGGAAGAGGTTTGGCTTTGCTCTGCGAGCTATCAGAGTCTACATGGGAGACAGTGACGTCTACACTGTTCACCACATGGTCTGGGTACGTGTCCTAATCTCATGTGTGGCTAGTGGGGTTAATCATGTATGAAAAATTCAGTATATTCAAATCAAATTTAGAGTGTAATTGTTAAACAAACACACACATTTAGTTAAATATTTATATTTAAACAATTTTCATGGTCTTCAGATTTTGTTTTAGATGATCCTAAAAGTCAGTATAACAGCACATGAGTGTCAGCATGGCAAAATCTAGAATTAAGAAATTAGACAGAAATCCCCTCTGTATTTTATAGATGTTGTATTTGCATTTTGAATTCTTTATTGCTGTGCATACATATGCATACTGAAAACATTAGTTGTAATAATTGCATAGCTGAGACATCGTCAGTCGTGGTTAGATGGTTGCTTGACCAGTAATTTTCATCAGAGGTTGTGTGTGTTTGTGTCCACAGTGTGTTGAGGAAGGCAGTCCAGCACATGAGGCAGGATTGAGGGCTGGTGACCTCATCACTCATGTCAATGGGGAGTCTGTCCAGGGACTCGTCCACACTGAGGTTGTAGAGCTCCTTCTCAAGGTAAAAGAATAACTTGAATTTACACACATTCTATATTTGGATGATCACAGTGATGATTGTGATGTGTTGTATGTACATGTACTGAATTTGAGTTTTTCTTAAACAAACATACTTTCTGTAAGTAATAACATATCATTTCTAGAGAAGAGAGAGACTGAATGTGTTACAGAGGGGTGTTTATGATAATGATCTGTTTTCAACAGAGTGGCAATAGGGTGACCTTGCAGACTACTGCACTGGAGAACACCTCTATTAAGGTGGGCCCTGCCAGAAAGGTGAGCTACAAGGCCAGGATGGCCCGGCGCAGCAAGAAGAGCAAGAGGAAGGACGGACAGGACAGGTACACGAGGGGAGAAATCATACCCGCAGCATTACTGTATGACATTTATAACTACTGTCTGAAGCTTAGTATTAGATACATTGGACTAAAATCTGAAATGTGATGAACAAAACTTTGATAAAAATCTAGTAATTAATTAAAATGGATGGTAGTTTGTTGTCTCACTGAGAGTCTTTACTCAAGTCAGCATGAAATATGTTCAAGCAAAGAACAGTATTACAGACAAAACACACATCTGACCTCTCACCTCTTTTGCAGCCGCCGGCGTAGCATCTTGAAGAAGCTGTCTAAGCATACGCCTCCTCCACCCATGCAGAGCAGTCGTAGCTTCTCCTCAGGTTTCCACCAGTCATCTAGCGACAGCCTCTCCGGCTCTCCCACGCAGAGTCTCTCTCCTGGGCCTTCTACGCCCTGTCGCTCCCCCGCCCCTGACCACTCCGGAGGTGAGTGAGGAAGCCATGCATCCCTTGCATCCCAAAAATGAAGCTGTTGATCTTTCTGTGTCTTATGTTTTTTATGTTATGTGTTGGTAAAAATCTACTAATGCTTAACTGTTTTATTTCTTTCTCTTTCTGTCAGACTCAAGTTCTTCCCCTTGCTCCAGCTCCCCTAACTCGCCTGTACCACAGGCCCGTCCAAGTTCTCTACATGTGTTGGGTCGCTACACCAAAGCTGGCCGCTGCAAGTCCACCAGCAGTATCCCACCTTCACCTCTGGCCTGCATCCCACCTCCTCAGCCCCTCTCTCCTCAGTGCTCTCCATCCTGCCTCCCCAGTCACCCAAAGTCCCTACAGGGTTTCCATGGCAAGACATTGTCCCCTCCCACTATCGCCCGCCATTCTGTGCGTCCCCGCAGTGCAGAACCGCCACGCTCACCACTCCTCAAGAGGGTCCAGTCGGCAGAGAAGCTGACAGGAGACAAGACGACGGGGGGTTACCATGGTGATAGGAAGGCCTACAGCACCCGCCGCCACACCATGGAGGTGCCTCTGTCTGAGGGGGAGGGGCTGGAGGACATGGAGGGGGACACCGCCACCGGGTTTGTCTGTGTGGGTGAGCACGGCCGTCAGGGGCTGTACATAGGAGGGCAGAGAGGCCACCAGGACACAGCCAGCGGAGGCAGCGAGCACCACCGCTCTACCGCCTCACCACAACACCGCAGCAGCAACCACCACTCCAAAGAGGTGGTGGTGATGAGGAAGCTGGCTCTGTCGGAGCGAAGGGACTCCTTCAAGAAACAGGAGGCCGTGCAGGAAGTGAGCTTCGATGACTTGGAGGAGAGGGAGGCGACGCCGAGCCCAACACTTCCCGTCACGCAGCCGAAGGCATTCAAGGCGTCCTGGATCAACTCAGCCCAATCAGAATCTAGTGCGAAGCTGGAAGGAAGAGGATCACAGGGTACAACACAGCAGAAGGCCAAGTCAAAAGACAAAGAAGGGTTTTAGTTTGGTCTCTTTGCCAAGGAAGGTCAACAGATTCTCACTCTTGAAGAGACTGAAAGGTGAAGATAAGTCTTTGACCTGCTACTGTACTTACATTTGAAGGCCTTGCATGTGTGTCCAGAAAACTGTGACCAAGTCCCAAATCAACACAAGCAACTGTGTGAAGACAAAAGCGCAAATTAACACCGATGTTTCTCAGTAATATATGCATCCTGCAACACTGTTAACGGAATAATGACTGCCTACTATGTTTACTTCCTAGTTGCTTGTTTTCTTTCTTGGTTCTCAAATCACTGTGGCACCTGTGACTGATGTGTTTTGTACATAGGTTTTTGTTCTAAATGAAGAAACTTATTTATGACTTTTTATGCTCATCTTGGGTTGTTTTTTTTGGTTGCTGAAAATGCCTTTTTAAGCTTCAGCTGTTCTTAGTTCAGGAATTGCACAAAAGGAAAGCCACACACGACTTCTCAGTGTGGTTTTACAGAAGGTGCAGAAAAGGGCAGGTAACATCAGTTGATATCGTACCTTTATTTTATACCTCAATGCCTGTCTAGAACTAGGTGTTGTTTCGTGTTCAGTTTGGATCTTTGAAACAAACTTACAGTGTTTGTCCTGCAATATAAAATGTATTATACCATTGCGGAAGATATTCTGTGCTGCCTCTCGGAAGAAATGTATCATACAGATTGTGGTGGGCACCATTTGGACTCATCAATCCAGAACACAGGCCTTGTATAAAAATTTTTACCAAAAATATCAACATCTCAATATTTGGAAGCCTAACTGTGGTGCCAAAGCATGGTTTAGCCATAGAAACCATTTTAAAAAAAGAGGTACTGTAGTTGTACATAAGAAGCTTCATGCATGCATGGGCTCTACTTCCACTTGCTGTCTGTCTTAAAAAAGCGTGTCAGTGCTGACACTCGAACAGTGGTTTGAATAATAACCTGATCAACATACAGGTGTGTAGATAAAACCCGTCTCTGTCTTCTAATACCTTGTTGAATCAAGCCTCCGTCCAGCTCCTTACAAACCTAGTCTAGCTGAAGTGTTTGCACAAGTTGTAGTAGCCGTATAACAGTTAGAGCACATTTATATTTCAGGACGATCTCCTTCTCTGTGGGATTCAAAAAATTGTACAGTGGATGCAACAAACAAAACTGGCTCCCTTGGCTGTTTTTATTTTTTATTATTTTTTTTATATGTGTTATGAACGAATGTTTACATTTTAGTGCAAGTGTGTGTGTGTGGTCATGGTTTTGTTAAATTATTACAAAAAAAGTGAATGATGGAAATCAACCAGAGGCCCTGAGTGGATGAAGGAACGAGTAGAGGTGATTTCTTTTTGTACATTTTGATATGGAAACAGTCTTGTTGCAGTACTAATAGCCTATGCTGTTGATGTATATTGTATAAACAATGGTGGACCTTATAACAGCTGTCGGTGGTGTTTTTTGAAAGTGACCTTGTAAGGGTAGATTGACTCATTGTGTAATGTCACTTATGTGGCAGGGTCTTGATCTCATGTTGCGATCAGCCTCAAAGGATTGTGCATGCTTCACATCCCAGTATATTCCCACAATCTTACAACATGTTTACATGTTTTTAAGCTCTTTGAAGTTCTTAATCTCATTGAATTCCTAATGATGATTTTCAGTCGCTGATTTGAGCTTTAAAATTAGTGTTTTGTTAGGAGATGTGAACATATGGGATTTGGTTTTCAGCAATGTATTCTTTCATTTCTATTTTTGTTCCCGTTTTGGAGCTTTTTTGTTGTTGTTTTTATTCAGCAACTGTTTGGATCAGCAACCAAAAATGCTTACAGTCTTATTTTAGATTAATTCACTGCACAGAAGACAATTTTGTGCCTGTGTTCTTAGTTTTATGAAGGCGCACATTTGTGTTTTGCAGAGCGAGGGGAATTATTAATTTGGGAATTTATAGCGGAGGTTTAGCACATACTAAGCCTTGCACAGTGGTTATAGTGGGCGTTCAAATTAGAAGTTAGAAGTGTGTTTGTTGTATTGTGGGGGGAAAAACTGTGTGTCTGAGTAGGATTTGTCACTGAATATCTGATGCAATATACATCTTGGTATGTTAGGATTTGATCTCTTTATTTCGTACCCCTACCAAACTGTCATTGTATCGCTTGACCCTTAAGTTGTATCATCATGTTATACTTTTTAAATTCAAGTTCTTTTTGAGAAGCTCTCAGCAGCAGTCCATCCATAACAACAGTTTGGGCATCACACATCAAAATGAAGCATCACAACGACTCTTTTCATCTGTGTGTGTGTGTGTGTGTGTGTGTGTGTGTGTGTTAAAACTGTTGCTCAACCATTATTCTCCATATTCTCCATATTCTCCACACTTGTTTTAGTGTGTTTGTGTGTTAAAGTCGTTGCTCCCCGATCCTCCCCAAACTGGCCTTTGTGAAATTCCTACAATGTGGGTATCTGATGCAGACCGGTGTGACATTGTCAGTTTTTTTTTATTGTCTTAACAGTGCTTGAAATAAATGAATTGCAAAGTGACCGAAAAGTCCAGAATACAAGCGTGTGTATTTGTCATCTGTCCCTCCATAAAATAATATTTTAAAGTTTGTGCCACCATAAACCATCATAATCTTCAGTGTCTTGGTGGTAAAGCACTATACACTCAATCAACACATATACTATATTAATAATTAATTAATGTAGTAATAATACACCAGATGTAGTATAGTAGTGTGTATTTTGAATAAAGTACACAGATATGATCCAGAATTTGTCCTTTACAGTTCTCACTTATACTACTTATTCATATTAAATCTAAACCAGTAGATGAACTGGAGAAATCTTATATGAAGCTCAATATAAGATGTCCCTATGCAACCCAACATGGGATCAGACACGGATTTAACATGTGGTTGAGCACTTTTTCCTTTTTCATATGAACAGGAGTCTTTGCAATAAAAGAGAGCTTAAAGTATAAGGTTGGGAGGGGGGAATGTAGCCTCGCAGCTTAAGATTGTCAGGTTCAAATTTCCATTATGGGCCGAGGCCATTCGGTGACCCCTCACTAATCGTTCGGACTTTTCCGCTCGGCTTCGTCACTTTCCGCTCTCTTCATATTAGTTCCCACGCACTCTCCTTCCCTCCCTGCGCCGTGCTGAGCTGGAAAATGGCTGTGTAGGGGAGCAGGGAGTCATGAACGGGAAAAGAAAAAAAGAGCGAGAGAAAGAAGGCGAAGCAATAAGTGAACAGCGGGTTTGCTAGAAGTTTAGTGCACCTCTAGAAAACCGTCGTCCGCGTATACGGCTCTACGTGGACTCTGTCTGACACTCTGAAGTGTTAAAGCGACGCAGCCAAAAGTGAGAAGAGTCAAGAAATATCCGCGGGTGAGTTTTTTTTTTTTTTTCCAAGTTATTGCACATTTCCAGTACAGCAAGGCAGCAGCCAGCCACTGTACTGGAAAATGGTGGAAGCGCTGCAAGTGTGCTCAGCGCACGCAACTTCTGACTGTTGACTTGTGTCCTAGTTGTAAAGTTTCAACACAAGACCTTCAACGTGTTTATTGTATTTGTTTTTATTTGTATTTTTTTTGGCGCAGTACACGTTGTTACGTTTATTCTTGCAGCACGTTGCTCGCTGCTCGCGCTGCTCGACAGTTGACGTCTATAAAATGCTGAGCCCGTTAAGTTAGTGAAAACCTTTATTTAAAGTTGCTTCACACTTAAATTATTATTATGTTCATTCTTGATAAGCTCTGAGGTTATAGCGAGGGGGACTTTTAAACTTAGCTCGTAGTTGTTAAACTTATCAATTTATGCAGAATTTAAACCTCCGAGTTCAGAGTTGTGTGTTTGTTTTTTTTTTAAAGCTAAATACTAAAAAATGAAGTGTTTTTTAGATGTTGGGTAAGATTGAAAAAGTTTTACTGCAGGACTGAAACATAACAAATAAGGCAGACTTTGCAGCGTACTATAACAGTGGCTTTACATTGACTGCACACTATAGGAGGCCATGCAGTGTGGAGGCCCAACATAGCTGAAGGCCTGACATGATGTGTGTGTTACATCCCTGGTTTGGGGATTTGGCATGCAAAAAGGAGTTAGTGGAAATTGTGCCACTTGCATAATAAGACAAGCCACTCAACTGTGTGGCGACCCCCCCCCTCCATTCTGTTATAATTACTGAATCCAGCATTATGCAACCAAATGTCAATCCTCCATTACACTGCTCTTTCAATGTGAAGCATGACTTGTGGCAAAGCCTTCATTCTTCTTCTAAATGTCTCCAAATGCTCTGAATGACTCGCAGGGCTTGTTTCGTTAAAAACTTCCAAATGAAGTGCATCTTCTCCAAATGCCAAGTGTCACTTCTCAGGGCTAAACGTAAGCTAACTTCAAGTTCCTGCAGACACAGTACAGCTGTGGTTATTTTTGTTATGTGTCCTTCAGCTGGGGGACCCAGTTAAACTGAAATGGTGTTATTTGATCAAAATAGCAACAGAATACAGTTTTAAGGAGAGTTTTTAGACGTAGCTGCACTGGAAATGCTGCAGACTCTGAGTTGGGGCTCGTACCCAAGATAATCTAAACATCTAATGTTTAACAAAAGTATGTTTTTTTGAACTGAAGACATAAATGAGCCTTGTTGGACTCTATGGGCACAAAACACTGAGTACAAATCTAGTCTGTCATTTGTAATCCACTTTTTGGAAGACCCTCCGTCCTGGATGTGACCGATTGCTGACAGGAGTTGGGAACAGCTCACTTATTGACCGTTTTTCCCTACGATCCAGAAATAATATTCCGATAATAAAACATTTTTATAGTATTAATGATATCAGGTGATAGACTGAAAACCAGACAAATTAATTGACACATTATTTTGACGTAGGTGCCACTTAATTTGAATTACTTCATGTAAAACCGGGTCCTCATTAATCTCTCTGTGTCACAATGGGATTAGTATTTGATTAGCTTTGTCACTGCTGTGTGTTTATAATGGAGGCCACTGTATGTTACCTGCAAAATAGTTAGTTATGGTATAGTCTAATGCATTTATATGTGTCTTGTGAGGGATAAATGTATGTATACATATTAATAACCAAGAGAAATGCTGTTATCTTGGTGAAAGAACCAAGTATGAGGCTTACTAACCACCATTACACACAAACTACGCAGCAAACAGGCTTGTGGTATTTTCAACTGCTGCAGACTGTTCAGGTTTATCAGATTTTCTTTCTTTGTTGTCGTCAAAATGTTAAACAACGTGGTCGCGTGGACTCTTCGACCGGCTGAGGCATTGAATCGCCTGCATCTTATATCTGATAAATACAGCGAGTCCTCTTTAAGGCCTTGTGGTATGTTTGACTTTACAGAACAGTGCCGTCGCAGTGCTACATAATCTTTCGTAGCAGATGTTTCTATTTAGCGAAGTGAGCTTTTCAGCTTCATTAAGGACAGATAGAGTTCAGGTGAACATAACTTGAATCATAAAAATGCCTAAGCCCCCATTTTAGGCTGAAAAATAAGTCCTCACAAGCTCCTGTGTTGTTGGCTTGTCCTCCCTGCCTGTGGCGCAGTAGATTTTTCAGTTCCATGTGGACAGATGGCTCGAGGCCAGGCTGCATGCGTGGTGGCTCTGTAGTCAACTCCTCACCAGCAGGGCCGTAAAGGGCCAACACATACACAAACTTTAGAGCATTGACTGTGTCTCCATAGTGAATGAGTTTTGTTCAATGCATTCATTTGTCTCCGTGAAAGTCATTTAAGTAAATTAAGAGAACTGCAGCCTTTCTTTGTTTAAGCATGAATCCATAACCTGTGTCTCTGAGACGTTTAGTCAGTTGTATCTTTTTATTAAAAGTGTACAAGCTGAGTCTACATTCTTAAACTCGTGAACCCATTAGGTCTGTTTTGAAAATGGTCACAGCTGTGGGGGGAGCTGCTGCTGATATTTGGATTGGATTTGCCAAAGCATGTTAGCCTTCAGACTATTGAAGATATGGTAAAAATATGATTTCACAATTGACCTACATAGATGTGACTGTTGACAAATAAACAAGGAAGTCATGGTTTATGGTGTGTGGGTCGAAAAGTGAAAGAAGATGTTCAACACCCTCACGTCTACATAGAAACCTGTTCATGTGTATTGGTTGATAGATTGACAGGGCAGGATGTTTTTATGTAGGTAATTTAATATAATATAGAGAGCTAGACTGATGAATTGGCTCGGACAATACATCGGGTGATATTAGCTTAATATTGGCTGAGCATGCTGCTCAGTGTAATCATCTAGGCTGATTTGAATTTTATGAAGTGAAGAGAACAACTAGTCGGACCACACTGAGTCAATGAAGTGATGCAAGTTACTGAAACAAAGTTATTAAACTATATTGAATACGTAGAATGATAAACAGCTTCAGTTTGGGGCAATAGTTGTTCAGTCTGCAGCAGTCAGTTGTGCGACATTGAGGAAAAAAGATCGTTTCGAGTCGTGCCAGAGAGCAGTGATGAGTTCATCTTTACACTGTAAACAGTCACAATAAAGAAAAAAATCTAAGGGATCCTTATCAAGATTTTTCTTCTTTATGACAGTATGTTGATTTTTATATGAGTTTTGCATGAATGTAATGAAGTAACTTGATCTGGAAGGTATTTTAAATGTACTTATCACTGGTTCACAGACTGTGGTCCACCTCTAGTGGTTCACAGAGGAATGTCTGAATTTAAAAAAAATGAAATAGATTAATTTAAAAACCTACAATATTATTAAAATACAAAGTTTCTAATGAAAATACTTAAACTATGAGATCGTTTAAATGTAATATTAAAAAAGTTTTGCCTTCCGTGTAATATTTAGTTTTTAGTATCAGCCTGCTGTATAGTCACGTTCATATACACAATGCACACATACATCCCTGATTAGTTACGAGTTTAAATATAATGGCAAGATAGTGAGTGGAGGTAAAAACTGCAATCGTGGCTCCAAACAGGAACTATTGGGAGGACAAGTGTGGACCAGGAGTACCCCTTCTCCTCCAGATGTGGATCCGTTCAGGATTCAACAACAGTCAGCAATAAATAATCTTCTTTTTAGAATTAAAACTGCTTCCTGCAAGATTTGTCCGTCGCTGAACAGGGTCGGCCTATGCTACTGTATTTTAACGTCGGTCATAACGGTGGAACTTGAAGAGCCTAATCTTTTCAGAGGTGGTACGCTGTGTGAGAAGTTTGAGAAACACTGATACACATAATACAAACACAACAAACTGTTTGTCTCTAAAATTCCATTTAACGGCCAGTTATTGTCAAAATGAATCCAAGGTGACGTCCTGCAATGTTTTGTTTTTCTGACCAACAGTCCAAAACCCAAAGATATTTATTTTTGAATGATATAAAGCAAGAAATTGTCACATTGGAGAAGCTAGAACCGTCAAATGTTTGGCATTTTCGCTTGAACGATTCTTAAATTCTACAAATAGCTGCCGATTATTAAGCAACGGTTCGTTTAGTCTTTTTTTGTATGAATTAATAACTAACCACCTTTTTATATAAATATTTAACGACCAAAAGTTGAAAAAAACATGAATTAATTAAGTACAGTAAGTACAGTAACACCATAATAAATAAATGAACTCATTATTAAACGAGTGTGGCATGTTGGTCTTCAAGCAATGTCAGTTGCTCTTTTCTTTCACTCGACTGTGTTAGTGATGCTCTGAATAGCTTATTTGCCATTTTACATTATGCATACTGGGGTATAATGAACAGGTCAGAGCTCCACTGGCTGACTAAACACATCAAGAGTCATTTGATGTTTGCAGACAGCAGAGGAAAATCTAGATGCCATTTTGAGTTCAATCTAGGTCTCGCTCTCCCCCTGCAGTTAAGCACAATGTCCATGTGTGGGAAATAAATAACATAAAATCAGAAGACTATTGACTTGCTGTGTTATGTTGTAATGCACAGTTGTTTACCAAATATTGTATAACTTAACTAGTATAGCAGCACTTTTGAGTGAATTCTGTCATAGTTTCTCACTGTGTTCCTGTTTTATAAAGGCCAGAATGTATTGTTCCCTCTCTTTCTGCATAGCATCGTCACATTTATCTCCCTGTTAGCTGAGAAAAACAAAATTCATCCTCTTTCGTCTCATTGCACGACTTCAGCATGACTCATGGAATTCTCTCCAATCACACGCAGCCTTCAGTGTTTCCATGTTATGTTTTACATCTTTATCCTGTGGCAGTTTCATTTGCTTTAAATCATTGTGTCATCAGAGATGATGAGCAACCATCAAGGTTGCAGAGATGAAAAAAGTCGAGTGTGTGGGAAAAGGTGGAGTTGTTTGGGTCAGATGTTTGATCACTGCCTAGATACATTTTCTAATATTAGAACGTTTCCTTGATTTGCCCGGCTTCTCTGGTGACTGGTGAGCACATGGCCAGAGCAGCAGCCAATCAGAGCGCAGGATTAGCTTTCCCTCTCTCTAGCAACAGTGAGTTACTTGCTGCCTATTCATTAATTATTTTCCTGTGGTCTCCCTCAGCTGTTTGGACTGGGCTGATAGCAAAGTGCTCCGTCTCTCAGTCTCACTCTGTTTTTTCACTGCTTTCTGTCGCTCTCTGCTCTGACTGAGTAAAAAGTCTTCAAAAACGGATGGATCCAGTGACGCTGAGCTTGCCAGCTGCTGCTGCTGCCCTCAACTGTGAGCTACTACAACACTATCAGACCAGGACTGTAACAGAGATGACTCTTCTCTCACCTCGCACGACTTTTTTCTGCTCTGGAACTAAATAATAAAAAAGGACTCCTGAATGAGAGCGCTCCCTACGCACTGCTTTTTCTTTCACTTGGTCTTCATCTCGTTTTTGCCTCTTTCTTTCCTGCAGCGGCGCTCTGACTATAAACAAATAAAACATGGCAACTGGAAAAACCACTGGACTTTTTCGCTGGATGAGGATC